GCATGTGCTAAGAATCAGCATCTGTGTGACAGGAGGGTCCCCAGGTGTCCCTAGGAGAGGCGGAGCTCTGAGCATTTTACACCCTGTTCCTGAAGACACAGACACCACCAAGACTGGAGCTGGGTCGGCTCACTCCAGCCTCCTCTGCAGACAAGTACAGCACAGGTAGAAATCTTACTGAGTTACAGACTATAAAACGTCTTCCGAAAAAAAGCCCTGTTGACTCTGAAAAGCGTCATGGGGGTCCTTACTCTTTACCCCACAGATGGGCCTGGCAAGGCCAGCCCACAAGGGGGCACAGAGATAAGAGGAGAGCAGAAGCCAGAGAATCACTGACTCCAAAAATAAATAAGTGACTCCAAAAATAAATAAGTGAAAACTCCCCCTAGAACTGGCAAGTAAATGAGGTGAACAAGAACATTTCTAATGATGATTTTACTCTAAGCTAACTTATTTTGCCAAACTTTTCTGGGCTTGGCACAAGTTTTGGTTGGCTGTATAATCATCTATGATGATTTCGTAAGGCAAATGATTTCCATGAATCTCTGTCTTTCTCCAGGCCTTATTTCGCCACTACCCCCCAAAGTGTTGAATTTGTGGTAATAAATAAAAGTATGAATGGAACATACTATTCTTATGTAACTTAGTGTATAGCAGACCAAATCTGCTATAAAAATCTTATGTTTAAAGAAACATATAGAAATAAGTTTACAGAGAAAGAAAAAAGAAAGAAAAGAAAAAAAGAAAGAAACTAAAATCCTGGAAATCCGGTGACTCTGATCTAATTTTACAGATTCCACCAGTCTGCTGATGTTTGTCCAGCAGGGATGTGAAATGTCAAGACAGTTCTCCACTGGGAGGGAATGACGCAGCCTGGAGCCAGCTTCGAAGACAGGACTCACAGAGCAGGAGAGGCAGCTCGCACGCACACCTCAAAACAAACACGAATCTTCCAAGTGCAAAGACTTGCACGACCATCAAACACATGTGCTGTGGCGATTTGTTCCTGCCTTCTCTTGCAGAGTGGCAGCTCCTGGTGCTTGCACTCAGAGACCCTGCTCCACGCCAGGGATACCTGCAGGTCGTAGGGTCTCGGCCAGCACAGTGTGGTTAGCACAAAGTGCACAACGTGGAACCTGGAGCCCAGTGTGTGGCTTCCTGGCAGAGGCCTCCACACCCTCAGCTCATCCCCCATCTGTCAGGGTCTGAGGAAGCCCCCAGCAAGCACCTCCTCTCACAACGCCCACCGCCCATCCTCGGAGGGCACCACTCAGATCCCTGGTGACAGTACAAACTGAAGCAGTAAACACCTGCCCACCCAACTGGCCCTCTCTCCGAATTCCAGGCAGCCTCCTCCCTGCAGGCTCTCAGGCCCAGCGCGCCATGCAGAGGAGTGTATGAGAAAGGAGGCTCTCCCCATGGTGACGTCACACCCACCCACTGGAACCCAGCCTCGTGTGGCACAGCTCGGGCATCCCAGGCCACGTCCACTGTCCTTCCCATAAGACGCTCCCTGTGACTGCTCTTCCACGAGGGGTCGTAGACTTTCCCGCACATGTAAAAGGGCTTGTGCCATCATCTTCTCTCCCTGACACCCCTTCCCACTCTTCATGACAGCCCTGATGTTCATTTCTGATCCCCCAACACCCCCCACCCCCAGCCAAAGCCTGGACACTTGCCCTGGGGCCCCCCAGAGATGACAGAAAGAAGTTTCCACTTTTCACTAGGCCCTCCCTCCAAACTAGCTTTAAAAGCTTTCCCCAAAAGCTAGCAGGGGCCAGCAATTTACAAGAAAATGCTCAAATGCTCGAGGAAGGGTGTTATAATACATTGCCCCCACAGCCAACAGAACAAGCTCTTCTTTCTCCCAGGTTCTGTACTTCTCTGCCCACCCCCATCTTTCAAAAATAAGCCCAGCTGTAAATCCCTGTGAGAACTGCACAGGATGTGTTTTATAAAGGACTGAAAAACATTTTGAAGGGAAAAAATACATAAATGGAAAACGTGTTATGACGGTAACAATTTAAGCCCAAAACACCATTATATTAAGGAAGTCATAACATGATCCAAGCTGCCCCTGCTCAGAAGTCCATTAAGTGGTCCCCTCCTGATNGCCCCCCAGAGATGACAGAAAGAAGTTTCCACTTTTCACTAGGCCCTCCCTCCAAACTAGCCTTAAAAGCTTTCCCCAAAAGCTAGCAGGGGCCAGCAATTTACAAGAAAATGCTCAAATGCTCGAGGAAGGGTGTTATAATACGTTGCCCCCACAGCCAACAGAACAAGCTCTTCTTTCTCCCAGGTTCTGTACTTCTCTGCCCACCCCCATCTTTCAAAAATAAGCCCAGCTGTAAATCCCTGTGAGAACTGCACAGGATGTGTTTTATAAAGGACTGAAAAACATTTTGAAGGGAAAAAATACATAAATGGAAAACATGTTATAACGGTAACAATTTAAGCCCAAAACACCATTATATTAAGAAAGTCATAACATGATCCAAGCTGCCCCTGCTCAGAAGTCCATTAAGTGGTCCCCTCCTGATGCCTGCAGTTGACTACCAAAGTTTCTCACAAACTTTAAAAAAAAAGTCAAAAATTCATTCCTTGCAATTGACTCTCCCCTGGGTCACTCAGTGGCCAAATC